AGGGCAGGGCCTGTAACCCACATGGCAGCTGGTCAATACATGCCTGTTGCAGAGAGGCCCCAGGGAGTACACAGCTTCTGACTGAGGCCCCTCAGGCTTTAGGATGGCCGCCTCTCTGCCTTGTTCTATTTCATCCTCCTCGGCACTGAATTCTTTCCCTTCCAGCCTAAAAATTCCCATTTGCAATGAGCTCGACTTCCCTTCTCTCTCGATCCTAAGACATTGAGATGCATCACAGAATGCTGTGGCTGGAGGGGGACCTTCGGAATCATGGTGTCTGCCTTAATTCTATTGATAAGAAAAATGAGACTCAAAGAAGTTAAGGGCATTGTATCTGAGACCATTAATGACAGCATGGCTAGCACAGCCCAGTCTCCCAAACCTCTCCCAGGGGTTTGTTGTTGTTAATCCTCACCCAAGGATATTTTTCCATTGATCTTTAGAGAGAGTGGAAGGGAAGGGAAGAGACAGAGAGACATCTATGGGCCAGGGACTGAGCCTTCAACCCAGGAAAAGGCCCTTCAGTCCCCGTGCCAATGTTCTATCCACTGAGCCAAACTAGCTAGGGCTCCCAGGGAGCTTTTTATAACACAAATTCCAGTCCCATGAGGCACTGGAGGGTGGGAAGGGTGTGGAGGAGGAGTTCCCTGATCAGGTTTGTTTTCAAAACACTGTAGAGACACCCAACCCTTTCCTGCTCAGGACTTGAGCATAGACTGTCCCCCTGCCTAAAATGCTCTGTACCCACTCCTTGTCACCTAGTCCACATCTTTTCCTTCTTCAGATCTTATCTTGAACTTCATTTCCCCCAAAAAGCCATTCCTGATTCCACAGATCCTTTAGGACCTGAGGCAAATGTTCTCTCCACAGCCCTTTCTCCCACAGCACTCACGTGTCATTACTATTGCGTTCCTAGTGGGCAGTCTGCTGTGTAAGGTCTATCTTCTGCTAGCATCTAAACTTCCCAAGGACAAGAGCCACATCTTTCTCCTCTGATGTCCCCAGCACCTCAAACAATACCATACCCACAATAGGCAGTTTATAGATGTATGTTGATTTGATGGCTGAGAAATCCTGCAATAAAGCAGCCTATATTATTTTGTTTTCATTTAGCATTTCCCAGACCTATTGGAGCATGGAACAACAACAACCTGAGGAACTAGACCTATCCATGTGACAAGGATACACTTTGGGGACACTGTGCCACACTGCACACAGACTGCCCCAAATGAAAGCCTTCTGATGCTCCCTGTAGCGCTATCCCAGGAAGAACATGTCTGACAAAGGTTACAGCATGGGTGGTTCTTGAGGACATTTTGCTCAGTGAAATCAGCCAGTCACAAAAAGGCAAGTACTGTATGATTCCAGTTGCATGAAATATCTACAGCCGTCAACTTCATAGAGACAGGAAGTAGAATGGTGGTTGCCAGGGGCTGGACAGAGGACCAAAGGCGAGCTTTTATTTAATAGGTGCAGAGTTCTACTTTTGCAAGATGAAAACATTCTTGAGATCTGTTTCACAACAATGTGAAAATACTTAACATTATTGAAATGTACATGTAAAAATAGTTAAGATGATCAATTTTTTTATTTTTTTAAGATATATTTTTATTGATTTTTTACAGAGAGGAAGGGAGAGGGATAGAGAGTTAGAAACATTGATCAGCTGCCTCCTGCACACACCCAGTGGGTATGTGCCCGCAACCAAGGTACATGCCCTTGACCAGAATCAAACCTGCGACCCTTGAGTCTGTAGGCTGACGCTCTATTCGCTGAGCCAAACCGGTTAGGGCTAAGACGATCAATTTTATATTATGTGTCTTTCACCACAATAAGGACATGCATAAAGAAACATGCACAGCTGGTGTGGCTCAGTAGCTGAGCATCGATGTATGAACCAGGAGGTCACAGTTTCGATTCCTGGTCAGGGCACATGCCCGGGTTGTGGGCTCAATCCCAGTGTGGAGTGTGCAGAGGCAGACAGCCGATCAATGATTCTCTCCCATCATTGATGTTTCTATCTATCTCTCTCTCTCCCTCTCCTTTCCTCTCTGAAATCAATAAAAATATATTTTAAAAAAGATTGGTTGAACTTACAGTGTTTTGCACACTGTAAAGCAAACTATACACATGTAAGGCTTTATGACAGGCCTTTTCTCCAGTCTGAGAGCAATGCCTGCTATAGCAGGTGCTCAGTAATATTGATTGAGTGAGGAAGCTTTATTATCATTCTTCTTATTTTCTTCATATGGGGAGAAGAAAGGACATTCCGGGGAGTGGGGGGAAGAGCAGCAGGACCTCACCTGATGAACAGGTACAGGACTTTCAGAAATAGGACTCCTGGATCACCCAAGGGTGCCATCTGAAAGAAACGTTCCCCGTGTAACTAGGTGTTAGAAGTAAAGCTGGTTCCTAACAGAGGCCCTTTTGAATTCTGCAGTCACACCCTCTCCCCACCACCCTTTCTGCAGAATAAGTAGGAGGGATCCTGAGATCCCGAGAAAGAAAGGCAGGTGCTGGCAGAGGGGGCTGCTTAGCAGACGGTTGCCAGTGCTGGGTGGCTGGGCTGCATCAACATGCTGTGCCTGGACAGACCTCGGGAACATCAGAGGAAGATCTCAGAACATAACTAGAATCCAGAGTCCCCCGTCTTCTTTGCATCCAGACCCCTTCTTTGCAGCCGGTCAAGTTCCAGGCACCAGCACAGCTCAAGCAGAATAACCAGCACACCAGGCTCCCCCCTCGAAGGGAAGCACTTATTTAGTCAGCACCTCCAGGCCCTCCCTCGGCCGCTCCTCACTTTCTGCCCCCCCCCCTTGGCATCGCTCCAAGGATGTATGGGTATATTTTTCCATTTACATGGAGCATCTCTGGCATCAAAACATTACAAACACCACCTTATGTTTCCTTTCCTGATAAAAATCACAAAATCCTTGCTATATGTGTTTACTGTGAGAACGGTCTGTTATGTCGGGCACCCCCGGGCACCCAGCTGTTCTGGTTCCCCCCAAGCAGCACCTCTGAGAAGTGTGCTGCATGAAGGTGTCTGCGTTTCCAGAATTCAAGGTGTAACGGGCCGGATTATGCACCGCACTTGTATGAAATCACCCCCAGCAGGCGTGGAATTCGCATGAAGTCCTAGCCAGGAGGGAAGTCGTTGGAACGCCCACCCCTCTGAGTGTGCAAACACTAGCGAAGGAACGCCTGGGTGGGTATGGCAATCCGGATAACAGCTACCCACACATTTACACTTTTCTAACAATTTATGAATCAACATCCACACCCTCGCTGCAAAGTATCTGTCGGACTACAACCACGCCTGAGGAAAGGCAGCCGGCAGTTGCACGGAGAGGATGATAACCGGGGTTCACGTGGACTAAGGCTTGAGTACCCCATGCCTCTTCCTTAACCTTCCTGGACCTTCTCTGCCGTCACTCGGAACGTTCCTAAGAGTCACAGAATGCATTACACATCTGCTACTGGAGGCAGCGGAGAAGGAATTCATGGATGTCTTTGAAAGACTTTAAGAGCCTGGTTGGAAAAAATTCCTGCCAGGTTTCCAGGGGGCAAGTGTAAGCGGGAGGAGGCAAAAGTGATGCTACAACAGGGGCCTGTGTCTCAGTATCTGAATGGTACGTGCCGATATTTTCCTCTGACATGACGTGTGACCTAACCACAGGAAGTCCTGGGAACCTTGGGTGTCCCACACAGAGGCTATAAGCCCGGCCCTAGACCGACACCAGCTCCAGGCCCTGAGGAGGAATCAAGAGCAAAATCTAACCAGAAACCTGGGCTCCATCCCCCACCTTCTATGCAAAGTTGCCTTAAAAGTCACTCGAACTCACAGGGGTGATGCCTTTGCATCACAGACAAGCCCTAGACCAGTGATGGCAAACCTTTTGAGCTCGGCGTGTCAGCATTTTGAAAAACCCTAACTTAACTCTGGTGCTGTGTCACATATAGAAATTTTTTGATATTTGCAACCATAGTAAAACAAAGACTTATATTTTTGATATTTATTTTATATATTTAAATGCCATTTAACAAAGAAAAATCAACCAAAAAAATGAGTTCGCGTGTCACCTCTGACACGCGTGTCATAGGTTCGCCATCACTGCCCCAGACCAAGAAACAGCTCTGAGGACGGTGGAGTGGCAGCTGAATTTGGCCCCAGATAAAGAACTGTCCTTTCATAAAGGGAGCGGGCCGGCAGGGAGTGAGAGGGCCGAGGCCCAGCGGGCGCAGGGAACAGGAGGGACTGCTGTGGTGCAGGTGCCACCAGCAAGCAGTCTGAGGGGCCGCCTTTGGTCAGGCCTCCCCACGGGGCCCCATCCCACCCCAGCCAAAGCAGGGCTGACCACATGCCAGAGACCAGTGGGAGCCAAAAACAAACCAAACCCCCCCCCCCAAAAAAAAGATCATGACTGTCCAGGACTTTGACCCGACCACCCTCATAGCAGAATGCCCGTTCCATCTTGCCATGAAAGATGAATCAGGGCCTCTGCCTGGCAAGGAGAGAGAGAGAGAGAAGGAAGGAATAGACAGATGAGGGAAAACATACTAAGAATAACTTTCTTTCTCCAGCTGATTTGGAAACCAGGTGGTTGGAAACAACAAATGGTGACTGGAGAGAGAAGTGGGTGTCACCCAGCTTTAAAAGGGTCTGAGAGGCCGCCTTTGTGTCAGGCCTCCCCACGGGGCCCCATCCCACCCCAGCCAAAGCAGGGCTGACCACATGCCAGAGACCAGTGGGAGCCAAAAACAAAAAACAAAAAAACAAAAACCCAAAACAAAAAAGACCATGACTGTCCAGGACTTTGACCCGACCAACCTCACAGCAGAATGCCCGGTCCATCTTGCCATGAAAGATGAGGCAAGGCCTCTGCCTGGCAAGGAGAGAGAGAGAGAGAGAGAGAGAGAGAGACTGGAGGCGGCGGAGAAGGAAGTCATGGATGTCTTTGAAAGACTTTAAGAGCCTGGTTGGAAAAAATTCCTGCCAGGTTTCCAGGGGGCAAGTGTAAGCGGGAGGAGGCAAAAGTGATGCTACAACAGGGGCCTGTGTCTCAGTATCTGAATGGTACGTGCCGATATTTTCCTCTGACATGACGTGTGACCTAACCACAGGAAGTCCTGGGAACCTTGGGTGTCCCACACAGAGGCTATAAGCCCGGCCCTAGACCGACACCAGCTCCAGGCCCTGAGGAGGAATCAAGAGCAAAATCTAACCAGAAACCTGGGCTCCATCCCCCACCTTCTAAGCAAAGTTGCCTTAAAAGTCACTCGAACCCACAGGGGTGATACCTTTGCATCACAGACAAGCCCTAGACCAGTGATGGCGAACCTTTTGAGCTCGGCGTGTCAGCATTTTGAAAAACCCTAACTTAACTCTGGTGCTGTGTCACATATAGAAATTTTTTGATATTTGCAACCATAGTAAAAAAAAGACTTATATTTTTGATATTTATTTTATATATTTAAATGCCATTTAACAAAGAAAAATCAACCAAAAAAAATGAGTTCGCGTGTCAGGTTCGCCATCACTGCCCCAGACCAAGAAACAGCTCTGAGGACGGTGGAGTGGCAGCTGAATTTGGCCCCAGATAAAGAACTGTCCTTTCATAAAGGGAGCGGGCCGGCAGGGAGTGAGAGGGCCGAGGCCCAGCGGGCGCAGGGAACAGGAGGGACTGCTGTGGTGCAGGTGCCACCAGCAAGCAGTCTGAGGGGCCGCCTTTGGTCAGGCCTCCCCACGGGGCCCCATCCCACCCCAGCCAAAGCAGGGCTGACCACATGCCAGAGACCAGTGGGAGCCAAAAACAAACCAAACCCCCCCCCCCAAAAAAAAGATCATGACTGTCCAGGACTTTGACCCGACCACCCTCATAGCAGAATGCCCGTTCCATCTTGCCATGAAAGATGAATCAGGGCCTCTGCCTGGCAAGGAGAGAGAGAGAGAGAAGGAAGGAATAGACAGATGAGGGAAAACATACTAAGAATAACTTTCTTTCTCCAGCTGATTTGGAAACCAGGTGGTTGGAAACAACAAATGGTGACTGGAGAGAGAAGTGGGTGTCACCCAGCTTTAAAAGGGGGAATTGCTGATATCTGAGCCAAAAAAGGACGCGCTGAAACCAAGAGGTGGATTAGCTGCAGAGGAAACAGTCTGAAGGTCCCATCACAGGTGAGAGAAGTCCAGGAAGAGCCAAGTAGAGAGGGTGCAGGGTCAAAGCCACAATCAAGTGTGGGCAGCAGAGCTGAGCTGACCTGGGGCCCAGCAGGGGCTTGGGGAGGAGGCAGTCGGCCAAGAGCAAACAGCAGGCTCCAGGATGGGGGCCTAGCTCTCTCAGCAGGGTGCCTGTGCCCCACCCCACAAAGGTAGAAGAAAAGTGGCCACTGGAGGAGCCAGCAGGGCGCAGGGGGTGGGAGGGTTGGGGGCGGGGCTAAACTGTCGGGGGCAGACACTGGAATTCACCTCCCAGCAAGATTTTCCTTGCTTAAAAAAAGTCACCCTACACGCCCAGCGTGAACAGTGCAAAGCTAATTACTGCGCGTCTCCTGTTCTTGCAGATGCTGATGCTATGAGATAACCTGAACAGGATGTTGCTCACTGGAAGGTGACTTTTCGGTTTGGTGGTATAAAACGTGTGTATGGGGTCACTCGTGTTGTGGCAAATGGCAGGATTTCCTTCATTAAAGCTGACTAGTATGCTAAGTGAAATAAACCAGACACTGAAGGACAAATACCACACGATGCCCCTTATATGTGGAATCTAAGAGTCCAGCTCAGAAGCAGAGGGTGGGCTGGCAGTTGGCAGGGGCTGGGGAGGGGAAATGAGGAGACGTTGGTCAGAGGGCACAGATTTTCAGTTATGCAGGATGAGTGAGTCCTGGAGAAGACTCATAATTACCATGAGGGTAGACCTTATAAGTGCCCCTCACGATGCCCTGTTCAGGGCATCCACAGCAGAGTCTCACTCTAGTCTCTGCTGTTTAGATGTCATTTTTATGTCCTTTTTTTTTTTTTAAATGGGAAACACTATTCTCACATCATTGTGATTCTTCCCAACTTTTGTTCATTTGACAGAGCTTCCTGATGTTTGGCAGCAGCCAGAATGGGTGGTGTTGATCCCTTAGGTGGACAGGTGAGGCCTGCGGTGGAGTCACCCTGGGTGGGTGGCTAGTGGCATTGCCCAGTAGGCTCCACAAATATAGTACCCATTACTGTTTACTGTGTGTGCCACAAAACGGGAAAGGTCGGGAAGCCCTGCCTAATGGTATAACCTTTGCTGACCTCTTTGGGTTTTGCCTCTCAGCATTCAAAGTTAACTCTAAAACGCTTTCTCTTTCAGAAACACTCAGCTCTTCACGTGAAATGGGCCCGGGGTTTTACGTCACGACCGATAACCATGAGTTTAAATATGATTTGAGACTCAGTCAACTGCTTGGTTGTCTCTGGGTAACTCTGTGATGCCCTTTTGCTGCAGCACAAGTAGATCCCCAAGAAAACAGACGCAGCCTCTAAGAGGTAGGAGCAGGCAACAAGGGCAGTCCTCTCTGGCTCCTCCTTTGCTCGGGCCCCACAGGAAAGGTGTCGTCACCCTCCCAGAGCACTTTTGACTCTGAGGCCCCGCCCTTCCAAGTCCAGAGGCTGCCTCCTTGGGCACTGCAGCCAATCTCGATGGGCTGGTTTCCCAGAAGAAAATAAAAAGAGAGAAGCACTCCCAGTGTCATCAAGATCAGAAAAGAGAAATACGTCTCTCCACGGGCAGAGCAGCACTCAGCAGGGAGGGAACTGTTTTCAGGAAGCTGCAGTCCTGATTCACTCCCCCGATAGACAACGTGTGCTATTTGAGGTCAGTTGCTCATCCTTTCTGTGTCCCAGTTTCCTCTTGTGCAGAACAGGCACTAATCATACTACAGCATGTGTTGTGGAAACGGATGAATAATCCGGCCTCCCACCGAGGATGGATGCTGTGAAATGTGAACTCAGGAGCAGCGATGAATACTTATCACGGGGAAGGGGGAGACGTGCTCAAATGCCGAGTTTCAGCGTTGGCTGTGGAAATCCGCTTAAAGGAAGGGTCTGTCCTCGAAGGACATGTTTCTCACAAAAGGAACGGGCAGACAGAGCGCAGCAAGTTTCTGTGATTCATGAGAAGCCTCTTTGCCACTCATGTCAAGTTCCCTGGGGTGTCTGTTAGGAAGAAAATTAAGCCCTTCGCTTGCTTTAGGCCAGTGATTCTCAACCTTGGCTGCACATTAGAATCACCTGGGAATCTTTTTAAAATCCTGATTTCTGGGCCTCATCCTCCGGAAATTCTGTTTCTTTGTTACTAATGTTGTGGCCCCACCCCATAACAAAGAAACAGAATTTCCGGAGGATGAGGCCCAGAAATCAGGATTTTAAAAAGATTCCCAGGTGATTCTAATGTGCAGTCAAGGTTGAGAACCACTGCTTTAGGCGGACTCAGAATCCTACTGTGGTATACTTGGAAGGGTCTTCACACATATTCTGGTTTCATGGTCTTCAAAGTTTGAAGAAAAGGTTCTACTGATTTAAACCAAACAAACGAGTTTGGGTAAGACCCCATACATCACACAGATGCGTTCAAGTAAGAGTGGAGCTGTTCAGGCTGACGCTGAGGCTGGGACTGCACTTGGCCCCTCAGCACCACCCTCCTGCAGCCCACAGTCCAAGGGACCCTCCTCAGAGCCCCCAGGGTTGCTCTGATGACCCAGTTTGAGGACATCCTGACAAAGACTCTCTCCTTGACCAAACCCTACACAGCCCCTCTTAACTCGTTTTCAACAGCCTCAATTTTTGGACTTCTGTGTTAATCTCTGCATTGTCCAATTTTAGCAAGAATTCTAAGTTGGGTTAGCTACAGTCTCCATCTTCCATATTTGATCACCCTCCGTACCTCATCAGCCTCAATATCTGATCGGGTACCTTAACCTCCACCATCTCCCAGGTCAGTGGTCGGCAAACTGCGGCTCTCGAGCCACATGCGGCTCTTTGGCACCTTGAGTGTGGCTCTTTCTAAGCCTTAGGAGTACCCTAATTAAGTTAATAACAATGTACCTACCTATATAGTTTAAGTTTAAAAAATTTGGCTCTCAAAAGAAATTTCAATCCTTGTACTGTTGATATTTGGCTCTGTTGACTAATGAGTTTGCCGACCACTGTCCCAGGTGATGTCTGATCACCTGGCCACCCTTTAGTAAGAATCCTGTTAAGACAGTTTAGCCCAAATCCCCCCACCTCTGGTGTTTCTTCTTAGTCATCTTCCATTCACCAGCCCCCACCTGCTGCTGGACTATACATTCCCACTTGCCCATGCTGTATTTGGAGTCGAGCCCAGTTCTATACTGAGGTCTCTTTTCTCCTATTGCAAGAGTCCTGAATAAAAGGTGTATTTACCACTTTGACTACTGTCCAGCTCTGATTTTTCTTTAATAGTCCCAATTAGCTTAACTCTCTCATTTGATAGATGAGCAGACAAGTTTTGAGAGGTAAAGTTACTAGAACCTGGATGTCTTGATTCCAGGCCTGGGTCATGTCCCCCTTCAACACACTGAAAATGGCGGAAGCCATGGATAAGGGTGTAATGGAAGTGGCAATGGCAGGGAGTCACAGCAGGGAGGCAGGGAGAAGACAGACGGAACACAAAAATATGGATATAAGCAACATTTTCAAAAAACTAAGGGGGCATATCTGTCTAAAGGAGGTCAGTTCCTTCGTGTATAAAAGAGAGTGCAGACAAAAGGAAAGAAACCCCTTCCCGATGTTAAGAGGAGATGATGCCAGGATCCGTTTCGGTCCTGTGAGCGAGAAGACACATCTCTGTGTTACAAAGGGGCAGAGATTACTGAGATTGCCTACATACTGAAATAGGCATTTTGTAAAATGCTATTTCTTAAGTTCATGATAGGCTAACCTCAAAATTATAATATCTGGGTCCTTCTCTGGAGTTTTTACTAACAATCTGTGAACTATCTGGGATGGTGAACCAATAAAGGTGTAGTGATTCTCGATTTTCCTGTTCCTGCTCTGCTCACCCCCATTTCTGCCATGTGTCCCCTAGTTGGTGTGAATGCAGAAGAAGTCTTTAACATACCCCCAAAACTGTCAATTTTACAAAGCTGTATGTACATGTACAGTATAAGGCATTCAGTGAGAATTTCAATCTTTGTGGAATAAATTCAATCATACCAATAGGTATTTTCTAAATTTGATCCAAGTTCAAACCCTTTCTCTTTAAAACACCTGAAAGCAGAAAAACAATGTTACTGGAGGACAGTTTGGCAACAGGTACCAGAGGCCATCAACTATGTTCATCCTTTGATCCAGCAACTCTGCTTCCAGGAGATCATCCTAGAGAAATATCAGACTTGTACAGAGAGATCTGTGAAAAGGCTGTTCATTGTGGCATTATTTACTAGTATAATATAAAAATTAGAAACAATTTAAATGTCTGTCAAGAGAGATTGATTAAATAAACTATGGTAGAGCTATATGATACAATAACATGCTACTATTAAAATCATTTGTAGGAGAATATTTAGTGTTATGGAAGTATTTGTAATTTACCAGAGGCCTGGTGCATGAATTCATGCATGGGTGGGGTCTGGCTGGCCCACCCCAATCAGGCAATTGGTTAGGCCGGCCGGGGGCAGGGGCCTCGGGTGGTTGGCCGGTGGGCCCTGCCCCCAATTGGTGGTTGGGGGGAGGAGGAGGGGGACTATAGGGGGGGCAGGCCAGGGAGAGGGGCTGTGGGCAGTTGGCTGGCCGGCCCCACCCCCTGGTCAAAATCTCGGTTGAACTCCCAGTAGAACTCCTGGTTGAGGGGACAATTTGCATATTAGCCTTTTATTTTATAGGATTAATGAGAAAAAGCAGGTTGTAAAAGGAGGTTGTAAAACATTACACTGTCTTATTTATATTGTATGTTATAAAATATATACATTAAGAAAATATATAACTTAGATGTAAACTGAGATCTCTCTACTTCTCAAGCTCTAATGATAATTGGTTCCGTTCCTTTTCACCAATTCCATGGACTGTGGAAGTTCAAAGCCTTCCCTGAGATTCCTGCCATTTCTAAGTAGCAAGGTGAGAGGAAGACACCTATGTTATCATGGCTACAGCATGTTGACCCAGTTGTGAAACTCAGCCCCATCTGTAATTTATATAGAATACGATTATGCACAGACACCCACACATACTGATACACACACATGATAGCACAAAGCACCTGAGAGGGTGGAGGGAAGGGTGGAGAGGTGGAGGATGAGAAAGGAGGAGTTTCTATTTCAGCTTGTAAACCACTTTAAATTGCACCTTCAAATTCTGCCAGTGTATTCAGCTTATTCAAATTCAGTTTATCCAAATAAATAAACATGTAAATTTTTTTAATGAAAAAAAAAGTGCTGGATAATGACAGGGATCAGGAAAGTAAGGATTTGACACATGTAAATCCAGGTATTCAAGTGCCCAGGTAGCAATGCATGTGGCTATTATTGTGGAGACGTTCCTGGGTTGAATCTAATGAATGCTTTGCACATTTAGACCAATAGTGAAAAAAATCAATTTATCCCACATGACAGAGTTCTGAGCTTATTTCCCATGTAAGGTCCTGACATTTAAAATGGAAAGGAATTCATTCCAAATAGAAATAGGATTCTGATCCAAACAAACTAATAGAAGAGATTTGCCACCAACTTGTTATAAAAGAAGAAAATAGTGATGCTTTTTCAGTACATGGAAGGTAGGTCTTCAAAGCACCACATACACTTTAAGAAAGCAAAATCAGAGGATTTGACAGGGGATTGAAATCCCATTGTCTGCTCCCAGCTTATGTTTCAACATTTGGTTATCTAAATACCAATTTCCCCGTGAAAGGGCAAAGAGCTTGAAAGGCAGCCCAGCCCTGCACACAGCCTGCCCTAGTCTGCTTGGGCTGCCATAACAACGTACCACAGAGTGAGGGGCTCGCACAACAAAGGTGTATTTCCTCACGGTTCTGGAAGCTGCATGTTGGAGATCAGGGTGCTGGATGGTCAAGTTCTGATGAGAACCCTGTCCCAGGTTTGCAGACAGCTGCCTTCTCACTGCATCCTCACATGACAGAGGGAGAGAGAGAGCTCTGTTCTCTCTTTCTCTTTATATAAGGACATGAATCCCACCATGGAGTCCCCTCTCTCATGAGTTCATCTAAACCTAATTACCTCCTGAAGCCCCCATCTCCAAATGCCATCATACTGTGGGTTAGGGATTCAACATAGGAACTTTGATGGGTTACAGCTCAGTCCATAGCCCAACTCCCAGCCCTTCTTCATTTGGAGACTCATGATATCAAGGCTACATCCATAGTCTGCGATCATAGATAGGGCCCCTCATGCAGAGAAAGCAGGTGTGGTGCCTTGCCTGGTCTCTCTGGCCAGGTGTAATCTTTG